GTATGTATGTATGTATGTATGTATGTATGTATGTATGTATATATATATATATATATATATATATATATAAAAGTTTGTGTTGTATTTGTGCTGATAAATAAATAAAGGGAGACTAGTATAGATCTATTTCAAGCTATTTAGCTCTCATCAGCTAGCCATACCCTTACCGGGATTCGAACCTGGACTGTATTACATATTAGGCAGATGTGTTAACCACTAAGCCACAAGGTTCTCCTCCTATCAGCTGAGCCAGGGAAATAGGTATGTGTTATGATGAGCCGATAGACAGAGAAAGGAAGCAGTAGGCTTCCTCCCATATTTGGGTATACCAGGGGTTGTGACACTAAATACATACCTATTATATATAATAGGTATGTGTGTATGTATATGTATGTGTATATGTATATATTATATATATATGGAAAGATGAAGAAACCCCCACCCCCAAGTGAGCCAGCCAGAGCACTGAGGAAACAATGCAAAGAAAAACTGCCCTGGCAATTGTGAGGCAAGGAGGAAATTTTACTGGACTTACCTTATTGATCCTCTGAGGAAATAAATCTGCTGTACCCTAAAGCTCCCATAAATCTAACCTTCACATAGTTGGCATGTACAAATGGGTGAAGGCTAGGCTAGAAGAAAACTATTTGCCTTTAAGGAAGAATCTGATCAAAAATTCCAGAGAGAGTAAAAGAAGGAAATACCATCCTTTACTCCAAAAAGAGATGTATGTGTTTGTTTATTTATCCACATATTACCTTCCATTCTGTCTTGCTCAATCTCTCCTAAATATCACCTGACTTACTTCTTACTGCATGTATGGGGAGAAATAACTAGACGATGGGATTTGTAGGTCATTATATAATGATGCACTGAAATGTCCTCACAATACACTACTTTGATAACATTTAAGGATTGGCACTCAGACTTTTAAAGATTTGTTCATGCTGCAAAAGATGCAGAAATGGAATATGGGAAGGAGTTTATAAAGGGATACTTACATGTAAAAGGGCACTAGCTGCATAGGTCACAATGATGGCTGAGAAGGTCCCCAGTTTCAAGGAGTTCTTAAAGACATCTGAAATAGATGGAATTGGTCAGCAGAGTCATTTCTATTGGCCTCCCCCAAAACCCAGACCATTGTTCCAATCATTAAGGAATTATATGTCCAGCTCCTCTATGGGACTGAACTATTAGCAACCTTTTGGAAGTCACTGGTATCTCTCAAACCATTGGCTTTCATAAAAACATGGCCTCTGAAGAGCACTTGGAGACTCCAGCTGGTCCAGAATGCGGCCGCGTGGGTTGTCATGGGGTGCTCCCATGCTACACCCCTTTTAGGCGGCCTGCACTGGTTGCCGGTTGTTTTCCGGGTGCGATTCAAGGTATTAATTATGATCTTTAAAGCGCTCCATGGCTTAGGCCCAGGGTACTTGTGAGACAGCCTACTGCCACCGGTAGCCTCCCACCATCCAGTGCAATCCCACAGAGTTGGCTTCTTCAGGGTGCTGTCAGCCAGGCCGTGTTGGCTGGTGACCCCCAGGGGGAGAGCCTTCTCTGTGGGAGCGCCTTCCCTTTGGAATGAGCTGCCCCCAGAGCTTCACATAATCCCCGACCTCTGGTCCTTCTGGCGCGCCCCAAAAAGTTGGCTTTTTCAGCAAGCCAGCCTGGCCTGAATAGAATAAATTAAATTGTTAATTTTAAATTGTTAATTTTAATTTAATCCTAAATGTGATTTAAATTGTCAATTGAAGGTTATTGGATTTTTTATTTAATCTTTTTAAACTCTTGTTATATGTGTTTTTATGTTGTACGCCGCCCTGAGTCCTTTGGGCGAAGGGCGGCACATAAGTCCAATCAAACCAAACCAAACCAAACCAAACCAAATTTCAATTTAATTTTCAATTTATTAGCATTTGTATGCCGCCCACTCCCACTGGGACTCTGAAGAGAGTTTCATTCCATCTAATGGTTTCTTGCACCCATGGCTTTTGTGACCTTATTCAAGCTGCTTAAAAGCATGTACGCTGATGATCATCAAGTTCCTGGTAACGAATCCTGAAGGTTAATAATACCTGATTATTTCCTATTTCTGGCTTAAGGTTATTGCTGATCAAGATCAG